AGGTCTTCCTTTTTGCCATTGGTTCACCCTCCAATGGCCGCTGCGGCTGGCGCACTGTGGCAGATGCATTGCGCTGATCCGATGGCAGGAGCCAGGTGCTTCTCCTGGTCTCCCATGGGGTGCAGGGCCCAAGTACTTGGGCCATCTTCCACTGCACTCCCGGGCCACAGCAGAGAGCTGGCCTGGAAGAGGGGCAACCAGGACAGGATCCGGTGCCCCAATTGGGACTAGAACCCTGTGTGCCGGCACCACAGGCGGAGGATTAGCCTATTGAGCCATGGCGCCGGCCCCTTATCAATTTCTTATCTCTTTCAGAACATGCTTCTGGAACTTTCATCAATTATGAAGAAATAACGCACCAGGAGCTGCTAGCTGGTCTCTACAGGAGGAAAGCTGTGCCTCCATCAAATTGTGGAATGACAACAGGACCCACCCGCTCCACAGACACCCAGCAGGTGATGGGCTGTGAACTGGATGCTCCAGCCTGGGCTCACCTCCCCAGGGGACCTTTATCAGTCTCTCATTGCCCTGCCTTGCACACTGTTGGGGGCAGGTCCAGTGCTCAGGCAGGGGGCAGCTGTGTATCAACAGAGAAAATCTAGGGCAAGGGCTGCTGTTGCCCTGAGGAAGAGGACTGGGCTAGAGAGCTCTCTTTCCCAGCATGCTGCTGGTTCATCTTTGCCTGGAGAGCACACCAGCTCTGCAGGAGCAGCAGCAGCGGAACATGAGTCTAGAACATGAGTCTAGAACAGTCTTGGAACATGAGTCTAGACCAGGCCTGGAGTTCTGTGCTCACCCTTGGCTCAAACAGGCTTCCTGTTGGGAGAGACAGACAAGAGATAAAAAGATGGCCAGGGCAGGGGTAGGGGTTGGGGCCCTGGCAGACACACCTTCCATTTGCAGTTTGTGTGCAAATGCCCACAGCAGCCAGGGCTGTATCAAGCCAAAGCCAGGAGCGTGGAACTAAATCTGCGTCTACCATGTGGGTGGCAGGGACCCAAATACTTTAATCATCACTCTTCGGCTCCCAGGGAAGCTGGATCAGAAGCAGAGGAGCCAGGACTTGAATCAGGCAGTCTGACACAGGATGTGGGAGTTTCAAGTGTTGTCTAATTGCTAGCCCAACGCCTGTCCCATTGCATGATTTTATTGTATTCTGCTAGGATCAGTCACTGGTAGGAGTGATGCCCATTATTTGTGGCAACAGGTGTTTCCTGCAGATTGGGATATGCCAGCACCTCTTCCTCAACCTCCCCGCCCTTCCACTGGTCCTGAGTCATCCAAGGAGAGGGGCCCCCAAAGCACTTGGCACTTTCTGTAGCACAGACTGGACAGCCCTATGATGCACACCAGGTAGTCATTCTGTGGGACTGTTGGACTTACCTGAGTTCTGAGAGCCATAAATGTGGGCTCAATTCCCACGGAAAGGGCCACTTAGCTCCTCCATCCCATGGCCAGACTCCCCCAGTCCTGACCATGCCCCTTGAACAAAAGGCTTCATTATAAGGAGAACCAATCTGGTACAAGGTCACAAAGCACTGTGGCACCTGTGAGATAAAAGTCCATGGGACACGCACGCAGTGGCACCTGCCTCTGACCTCATTCCTACCTCCAGCACCCTAACACAACTGCTTCAGCTCTCCTGCTCCTACCTGTCACTGCTCACACCGCAGTGGGCTGCTGGACAGCCTCTCCCACCTCACGCCTGCCTGTGAGGGACTGGCATCCTACGGCATCCAGCAGATGCTTAGCCTATAATGCCTTTCTTGGTAGTAGCCTTTTTTAAAAATTTATTTTATTTATATGAAAGACTGAGAGAGAGGGGTCTTCCATCCGCTGGTTCACTCCCCAGATGGCTGCAATGGCCGGAGCTGCACCGATCTGAAGCCAGGAGCTTCTTCCAGGTCTCCCACGTGGGTGCAGAGGCCCAAGCACTTGGGCCATTTTCTACTGCTTTCCCAGGCCACAGCAGAGGGCTGGATCGGAAAAGGAGCAGCTGGGACTACAACCGTTACCCATGTGGGATGCCGGCGCTTCAGGCCAGGGCTTTAACCCACTGTGCCACAGTGCAGGCCCCATGTAGTAGCCTTATAATTATAGTAACAAGTACCATTTTGGGGGGCGAGGGCAGTTTTTTCTTTTTCCCCAAGGAGCATGTACTAGATGCACCTGATTTCTAGGAGGAACTCTGACCATTAGAAGTAAGCTCTCCATTACAGGAGACATTCAACAGCTGGGGTTTTGCACAGGGAGCGTAGCATTGGCCGAGCTGCTCTGTGCTTCTTGCCTGAATGCTTCCTGGGTTGTCTTTGTAGCTGTGCTTTTTCAGAAATGGAAACGATGTAAAGAAGATAAACTCTTTCACAGTCAGTCTGTGGAAGAGCTAGTGAAGACCAGGTAGATGGGGCCATGTCCAGACAGGTGCCTTCAAGGGGCAAACCATATTCCAAGTGCTCACAGCATATTCCAGGGGTAGGGACTGTCCGGGTCACAGTGACATCACTTGGCTTGGCCCTGCCAAGACAACAGGAGGCAGGATGAGAAATCCAATTATCTGTAGCAGGCTGCTTCTTAAGTTGATCATTTGTATGCCAGGTGAATGATGTTCTACATATCCAAATGGCCCTTGGCAGAAAATGGTGCTCTAGCCTTGAGTACCGTTGTGTGAAGTTATTACTGTTTATCCCTATTTTATAGATAGTTAGGCTCAAATGATTCGGTAATTGTCTCACCAAAGGTCACCCAGCTGAGGTGTGTGCTGGAATCCAAACCCAGAGGCTGCATCCCCCAGGCGCCCCCCCCCCCCCTCCAGGAAGCCCTGCCCTCCTGGTTGTTAGAGTCAATAGCCTCTGGGCAATGATTTCCTTACACATCTCTCTGCTCCTGTAGTCTGGGAGAGCTTGAAGGATCAGGCCCGTGCATTTCTAACTCTGGACCCTTAGCACGCATCACAGTGTTGTTTGAGTGAATCTATGCTTATGTACAGCTGCCAAAGACAACAGCTCGGCGATGGCTTCCGCTTCTGCAGTCTTTGTTCCTTAGCCACTGTTCTGTCCAGTCTTGTCATGTCAACAGGCTTATTAGGAGCCTCTTTCAGAGGCCCCTACGGCATTTCCTCCTTTTGTAATTTAAATTTCCTTCACCCTGTAAAGCCTTTACAGGGTTGGCAACCACACTGCACAAATAGCGGTCAAAGAAAAAGCCCAAAGGGCCTGGCGTCAGGTGTGATGATGTTCCCAGTGACTGCAGGCCACAGTGTCTCTGAAATTTGCATCCCTTGCTGCAGGATGAGGTCCCCTGCCTTGGAGATGCACTGGTCTTCAAGAGGAAAAAGAACAAACTAGCCACAGGGAACCAGCAATGCCTCTTTCTGGCTGACCAAGCAGCCAGAAAAGTGGCAGGTGTGTTAGGGTGGCTGTGGGGAGAGGAGGTGTCATGTACAGTGACAGGAAAGACACTCGCATAACGGGACCTGTGCTCTCTCTGGGCCTTCACTCCTTGACACCAGGACGTATTAGGTTCATGTGCACTGGAAGGCCCAGGTGCTCAGTGGGGAAGAATTAGAAATCCAGTGCCCCAGAATTAGATGCAGCTCATTCCCCAGGAGCACATCCCAAGCAGGGACGCCAGGGGCTGCTGCCCGCCTGGGGCTGGGTGACCTGGAATGGCTCTCTTCTCCAGGGTGTGACAGCTGGTGGTTTATTCTGGGTTGGACCACGATGGTCACTGCTGCTGCCAGAGCCAATGTCAGGGTTAAAGGTGCACATGCCTATAAGTTCCGAACGATCAGGTTTTCCTACAGGAAACCATGGGACTAGGACTCATCTGTTTGTCCCAGAAGGGACTGAATAACTTCACTTCAGGCAAAAACAATCCACCTGCCACACCTGAAATGCTATGATGGTGATGTTTTCAGAATAGCATGCATTTGCTAATTCCATTCAATGCTCCCTGGAAGCCTTCTCTATGTAATAAGTGCCTGTGGAGGGGTGGGCATTGGGCACAGTAGTTAGGATGCAGTTTGAGACACCTGGATCCCCACCAGAGCCCTGGGGTTCAAGTCCTGGTTCTGCATGTGATTCCAGCTTCCTTCTAGCGTGCACTCTTGGAGACAGCAGGTGATAGCACCAGTGGTTGGGTCCCTGCCACCCATGTAGGAGACCTGGCTTGAGTCTCCAGCTTTTGGCTTCAACCTGCCCCAGCCCTGGTTGTTGGGAGTATTTGGGGAGTGAACCAGTGGACAGAAGCTCTCTCACTGCTTGTGTGTGTCTGTCTCTCTCTGCCTTTCAAATAAAATTCTAAAAATTAAAAAAGCACCAACGGAGACTCACTGGAGGGAGATTCAGTGGATTTTTCAGCTTTCCCATATAGTGGATTGGATGCAACCTGATCTCAGCACTTCTGGGAACTCACAGCCTGACAGCTCGGCCACGCTGCACCTGTGCCGCTCTAGTGGCTTCTCTCTCAACTCACAGCTCAAGTCCAGTGTCACTCATAGTCCTTTGGCCTGCCTACCACTGACTCTCATTGGCCTTTTACAAGACACAACCTAGTGAATACACGTTCCCGGTTTACTCCCCAACTCCAATTCTAAACCCTTTTCCCTGCAACTCGTTGCATTTTGGAGTTGATTTCCCTTTCCTTCACTTACTTTCATTTAGCTTTTAAAAATTAAGTCTTTTATTTTGATATAATTACAGATTCACCTGCAGTTGCAAGAAATGACAGGGTCACCGATTGCCCCCAGTGGTACCACATTGCAGAGCTACAGGATAACATCCCAAACAGGGCAACTTCGATCTCCTCTTACAGGCACTGGTGGTTTTTTAAAATTCAGAGTTTCAGAATCGCATTAGCACTATCAAGGCTTTCAGATTAATTTCTAATCAGATTCATCTGGAAGCAAGATAGAAGCTAAATGGCCTCTCTGGGAAAAGGACTTCCTGAGGCATTCCACTCCACACATTCTGTAATATGGGACCAGAGTCAGAAAAACTCAGTTTACAATGCATAATGATATGTCTTTATTTCATCAACAGAAATGGTGTCTAGACAAAATTCAGTTAACACTAGCAATTCAATTGGGTGAATTTTTTTTTTTGCACAATAGTGTATTTACAATGAGTAAATGAAGTTTCAATTCATTAGTTCATAGCAATGCTTTCCCCCCAACCCCAAAAGGTAAAAATTCTTACAGAGAATAAGCATCAACAGCCATTTCATTTTTACAATAAAAACCACAAGAAAAACCACAATCACTTAGAAAAAAAAATGACAAGCCTAAGAACTAGTACAATAAAATGATGCATTGAATTAAGTTACGTTAATCGCATAGAATCTGTGTAAAAAGTATGTAGAAAAACACCTGATGTAACCTGTTACAGTCGTTGACCAGTTATGAGAGGTACAGAGGGTTATACAGGTAGATATGTGTGAAAACTGTCCGTATTGTTCGGCCTGGGGAGGAGGAGGAGAGGGGCTGCAGCCCCTTGCATACACTGAGAAGACCCTGTTTTGAATATGGCCTCTGGAGTTTGTAAGGCATTTATTAGAGGTGCACTTGAGTCAGACTGGTTCTGGAACAAACGCTCACAGGCCCCCGCTGGCCTCACAAGCAAAGATGGCGCTTGCCTTGAATGGCTCGCTGCGTCTAACAAGCACCTGAAGCTCCCACATGCATTTCCAGTCTTCCTGCTCTCTCACCTCAAGTGCCAGGTCTTCTACGTCAAGAGTGTGTGGGCGTGCACCTGGCATCCGCGCATGTGAAATGCATCATTAGGATTCAAGTGTTTGTGTGTGTGTGTGGGGGGGGGGTCACCACTCTGCCTCCACACATGTTTTGGCAGAGGACTTAGCATCAAGTTGTACGAAACCCCTTCTTTGCCAAGTCCCTTCACGCTTTCCTGATAAACACAGCTGATGGTCCCCACCGGGAGCATGTGGCACTGAATGCAAGTCTACCTGAAATGAAAGGTCTCAGTGCACTTCTGCTTCCACGAAGGGCCACTGTTTTCTCTGAGGTCAATAAACTGGAATGAAAGTGAAAGTCAGAGTTGTTTTTCCATTGCTTGAGGGTGAAATGCATACACCATGTCACAACGCGAAATCAAAGCTACGCAAGCTGGCCTCTGCAGCCAAGTGGGTATTCTTCACAAAGTGGCAGCGTCATTTTCATTCGACAATGAAAATGCACCGATGTTCACGTGGTATAAATATCATCTCCCAGGGTGGAGCATAGGAAAATACTATACACTTATTTTTGCAAGTAACGTTTTTGCACCGTCGGTTGATTAATTTAATCTCAATCTGCCACAATAAGTCTTCTCTATGTACAAATACTATTGGCACACACTATCTGTGTACCAATATACTCTACTCGACAGCATCAGCCTTTGATGCTTGGGTCCTGGGTGGCTCGGGCAGTATTATAAACATACATTCTGCACACTGAATGCCTCCGTGCACACAGAGACGACCTGCGTGGCCACCAACTCCACACAGGGTGCTGCATGACGAACCAACTCGCTAGAAATGGAATCTAACAACAAACTCTTCAATTTGGGGGAAAATGGATACCATGAACAGCTTTATTCTTTGAAAAGAAAATCTTGTGTTTTTGTCTATGGACAGCGATTTGAGGACAAAACTTGACTCTTGCTCCCTTGTAGACCTACGCTGCGAGCGCTAGTGAAGCAGTTTGAGGTCACTTGTGGAGCAGCTCCTACTCCGCATGGGGAATACATAGACACAGGCAGCCAAATAGGGACCTGAAACAGCCCTGCAGGCTGTGACTCATTGGGAGGGGACGCTGCTGTTCCGTGGGAGGCAGAGCAGCTTCCTGGGGAAGGACTTTTCTTAAAAGGCTCATCGTTCCCAGACTTTTATTTGTTGTTTCTCTTCCTTAACCTTTCAAGGTGATCCTAATTTATGAGAAGACAACGTGTGTTCGCGCCTTCTGACCACAGCATGTAACCTCACTTTGTGCAAGTTTAACTGCAGCCAGTCCCTTCATGCAAGTCCTGTGGTTGGTCCCCAAACTCCTTTTTAAGGAGAAGTGGCAGTTGGCATAGTAAGCACTAACTTTTTTTTTTTTTTTTGCTTCCTTGGAAAAGCAACATAAGGATTATATCCCTAATGATAGTGCATCTTAAGAGCAGCATACCTTAGAAAGACAGTTAATAAATTACTTGCACAACATATAAAATAACATTCTCTACGGCAGCATCCCCTGTGACGCCTGAGTCATTGGTAGGGTACCCGGAAGAGAGAAGTAGCAGAATGGCCGAAGTAACTTTGCAGCTTTTCAAACAGTTTTTTTTTTTTTTTTTTTTTGCAATGGTTTTGTTCCAGAATCAGCGTGTCATGAAGTTCGATTTTATTCAAGGCACCCCAGATAACGCAGAGAAACAAACACAGACAGCAAAGCACGCACCTGCCCAAGGCCTGCCCAACCTGAACAGCGGGAGGCTGTGTGCAGACACAAGGACAAAGGCAGATCCAAGGGGAGGACTGCTCTCGGTGGGAGGTTTATTAGTCTTAGGAGCAACTCCACTGGCTCTGCCCCTAGGCCTATTCCTACCCCTGCCACTTGGAGACCCAACCAAGGCTCTCCTGGGGACCCTCCTGAACAGTTCACGGCAAGGAAGGACCCTTAAAAATCCAACTGAGTGTCACCACACTGGAAAACTGGAATTGCTCGCTGTCCGCTGGCTTGTTCCTTGTCAGAAAAGGCAGTGGGTTAACTACGGGAACCTAGGGAAAGGAGACAGGCTGGGCTTTTCCATCTCACTTGAGGCAATTTTGGATTCTGGTCCCTGGCGAGTCCTCCCTTTGAATTAACCCAGAAACAATTCAGCCAAGCACATGGTTCGGAATGGCCAAAGACACCAACACGTCACACGGACAACTGCACGAAGCCAGTCGCTGTTCATGATGGACAGTGAGTAACTTATTAACAATCCCTAAGAAGTTGAAAGAGTAATGTTTTCACCAGTTCCAATGGCAGGGACCGGGTAGAAGAAGAAGAAGAAGAAAGGGAGGCGGAGGATGGTGGGAGGAGGAGGAGGAAGAGGAGGACTGCCTTGGGGTGGGGAGAGGTCAAGAGACCCCTGGCCTCCACGAAAGGCTGCCTGCCACACAGGTTTGGGCCACTGAACAGGAAAGGGGGAAGAGGACGCTCCGTGGCCAGCACGACCAGTTGCATGTGTGTTGCGACCAGGGTAAATCAAGCCAACGAGCTGGTGTGGACCTGGTTATGGTATGAGCAGAAAACATTCCTTTACAAAACGAAAAGCAGAGGTCACTGACAACAAGGCAACCAGAGTTAGAAACACACAATACTGTCCGCCGACTCCTCCGCCCCAGCACAGGCCTTCTGAGCTACCACGGGATTCACACTGCGTTTTCATTGCCGCTGTCACCAGTTCTCCATAAAGGCAAACCTCACAGGGTAGCACAGAACCATTCTATGAGGCCAACACGCTCCACTCACCAACCATAAGGAAACAGAGCTCCATCACAATCCGTCTCAGACAAGCGCACACACGTACACACACACGTGAGAGAGACCAGAAACCCAGAGGCAGGCTTTCCAAGTGGAACTATTCAAAAAAGAAAAGCCTTTTGTTAAAAAAAAAAATCCTACTGCATGAACCAACAAATTTCTGGCATTCATACATATTTCAACATTTAGCGCTAATATTTGTACAGAAAAAAGTTAATAATACTAAAACATGTTACTATGATTTCACTTTTTGCCTACTAATCATATACTAATTTCCCCTTTACATGCAGCTTTAATATTGTCCAAACAATGGCACAAATAAAGAAACGAAGTCAACCATCTAGTCCCCACTGCCCACCACCCCACCCCCACATCAAACCTTTCTGGACTGTCTTCCACAGCCAGGCTGGAGCAGGCCTCGGGCTGCACAGCAAGGCAGGGACCACTGGAGGGAGGGAGCTGAGGCCCCCTCCTTCGGGGCACACCTTCCTGTAAACGTGGCCAGGGGCCCGCACGTCCCCCCCTCCGCCAGAGCCAAGAGAAGCTGCTCTTCTGGGTTGCAAGCCAACCCCTTTTGCAGCAAGAGAAGAAAATTAGCATCAGGTGAGGATGGGGGGTGGTGGGAGAGGGGAGTGTGTTTGGGGAAGAGGGGCAGGGAGGGCTCCTGGCGGTATCTTGTCCAAAGCCTCAGAAGGAAGCTGACTTCAGACGAGAGACCTGCAGACTACAACTCAAAGCGTTTGGAGGCAGAAAGGAGAAAGAAATGCATTAGCCTGCGTCAGGGATGGAGCTGGGCTCCATTCCGCCCTGCTCTCTCCTATACTGGGTAAGCCGCGTTAACCCCGAGTGCCGCCTCTTAGGGGCAGGCGTCTGGGGCTGGGATTCATTCAGATTTGAATCCCCTCCTGTGGGATGTCCTGGGAGGCCGCTCTGCTCCGGGGTAGGAGAGAGGGGTTGGTGAGCCTCGGCCTTCAGAGGAGGAGGACTCACTGCCTAACACTTCCAAGAGCAAGGCAGGTCCTGGGGAAGTGTGGAACCGAAGGGCCTGACTCCCTGGTGAGAAGGCAGTTCTGACTTGATTTCTAGGAGCCAACGCCTGCTGAGTTCTGGTAGGAAATCATGGATTCTGCTACTCTGATGCACTTTGGAGTGAGATGTCCAAACTCTCCCCACTTAGAAATCTGAACATCCAGTATCAACTCTGAACTCTATCTGCATTTAAACTGGACTTAGGGACAGGTGGGGAGGAGGTGAAATATAAAAATAGTCAAGCAGATTATTGTCTACACATCCTAGGATGAAGTCATTATTTGGCAAGATTGTTTTTCCTACATAATTATCACCTGAGTGCTTTTTCATTAGCTAAAATGTTTTACCTTTTAACTAAAAAGCAAAGAATATACAGTATACTTGAGTTATACTGAAGTTACAACTTCATTTAAGAAAATAGGTTTGACCCAAAACTCAGTGCAAGTGGCAAAGTTGACCGTTACTGTACAGTATCTGCAAGAAAAAAAAAAAATCCAAAAAACAAACCCACAATGCTCAAATGACACCATCTGGTGGTGCCCAAACCAAACGAAAGGAAAAAAAAGGCCTGAAATAAAATTTTGAAAAGAGCTTCCAACATTGAATTTCATCCATAAATAAGTACAAATTGAACCGTGAAGCAAGGGAAAAAATTGACCATGTTAACAGTTAGCAAACGAGGTGTAGCATCAGAGACAAAAAGAAGAGGAATGTTGGAACCTGTTGAGAACTGAGAAATGACATTTCCAGTTTCAGGATGAGAAAATTGAGGCATGCAGGACTTTTGCATATGGAGAGAGAGATATATATATTTTATATATATTATATATAATATGTACAGTCTAGCTATAAAACTTTGATGTGTATAGAAGCTGTCTTCAATGAAAAAAATTGAACATTCAGAAGAAATTCCTGAGATACGGTTTGTGACATGGGCCACTGAGAAAAAAAATCCGAGGCTGGGTCCTAGAGGTGTTAATCGTCTATCCCTGTGAAGACTGAAATGAAGCCGAGACAGACAGACAGCACTGTTGTCTTCCTCGCCGGGGCAAGGGGTAGCACCATTGTGAATCAGGTCACTAGCTGTCACTCCTGCTCAAACAGAGGAGGGCCTACTTCGGAACAGTATTGCTGCTGAAACTGCTGTAGTGTGCACCAAATTCCTTCTCGGTTCTTCCAGACCACAGGTGACCGGCGCCCGTGAGGACCGGGTGGCAGAGCCGAGTCACGAGGTGTAATCTTTCCTGGGCTGCTCGTCAGTTGTACACTTGTCAGTCATTTCCTGGCAGAAGTCCACGGTCACCGTTTGGCTTCTGGGTTCAAGGGGAGGGCCTCGCTCAGAGAAGGTGCCCGCGTCCGCGCCTTCCAGCCTTCTCGCAGAAGTGCAGTTCTCCGAGGTGGTGCTGGGCACCCAGGAGGGCCCCGGGGGAGCGGCACCGGGATCCAAGCAGCAGGGTGCGGCTTCCCCAGCCGCACACTGGGAGGCTGCAAGGCTCTGCTCGACGCCCAGGGGCGCAGGGCTAACACTGGAGGCTGCAGGGAGATCCATGGGTCTGAGGACGGGGCAGTAGCGGTGCAGGGCCTGGATCTGCTCGGGGCTCTGGATGTCTCGGCACACTTCCTGGGAGAGGCAGGAGAAGTTGTCCAGCAGTTCCCCCATGCACGCTTTCAGCTGGTTCCTCTCTGACAATAGCTTCTCCTTCTCACACACCTGCACAGGAACAAAAGAGAGGGCTTCAGCGGGTCTGGGTTACACACAGCACCTCATTCCTGGGGGTGGGGTGGGGTGGGAGTGTTCCAACTTTGCATATTCTCTGCTGAGCTATGGCCTACAATGCCAGCATCCCATATGGTTGCCGGTTCAAGTCCCTGCTGCTCTGCTTCTGAGCCAGCTTCCTGCCAATGCACTTGAGAAAGCAGCAGAGGATGGTCCAGGTGCTCAGACCCCTGCCACGCATGTGGGACACCTGGATGGAGTTCCAGGCTCCTGACTTCGGCCTGGCCCAGTCTTGGCTGTTGCAGTAATTTGGGGAGTGAACCAGCAAATGGAAGATCTCTTTCTGTTACTCAGCCTTTCAAATAAATAAATAAATAAATAAAATAAATCTTAAAAAAAGATTTATTTGAAATAGTTACAGAGAGAGAGAGAGAGAGAGAGAGAGAGAGACATCTTCCACCTGCTGGTTCACTCCCCAAGTGCTCAAAATGGCTGGAGCTGGGCTGATCCGAGGCAAGGAGCCAGGAGAGGAGCTTCCTCTGGTCTCCCACTTGGGTACAGGGGTCTAAGGACCTGGGCGATCCTCCACTGCCTTCCCGGGCATGTTAGCAAGGAGCTGGATTGGAAGCAAAGCGGAACTGGCGCCTATATGGGATGCCGGTTCTGCAGACCAGGGCTTTAACCCACTATGCCACAGTGCTGGCCCCCACATAAATCAATCTTAGGAAAAAAAAAAGATACGGGTCCAGGGAGCCTGAAACACACCTGTACATCTCTCACCTGGGCGGGCCATCCAGACAGGCCACTAATGCCACCGCCCTCCTCCCTCTCTGAGGCCCAGGCAAGCCACCAGCAAAATCACCACCAACCAGAAAACTGCAGGCAGTCAGTGTCCTGGTTTCACAGAATCTGGGGTTTGTAGAGAACCAAGTGGAAAACTCAGTACCAAACCTGGTGTGTGCTAATCTCCCCCAGATGTATTAGGCTGCCATTTTTTTTTAATTTTTGGACAGGCAGAGTGGACAGTGAGAGAGACAGAGAGAAAGGTCTTCCTTTACCATTGGTTCACCTTCCAATGGCCGCCGCGGCCGGCGCACTACGCCAGCCCACTGCACTGATCTGAAGGCAGGAGCCAGGTGCTTCTCCCGGTCTCCCATGTGGGTGCAGGGACCCAAGCACTTGGGCCATCCTCCACTGCACTCCTGGGCCACAGCAGAGAGCTGGCCTGGAAGAGCGGCGACCGGGACTAGAACCTGGAATGCTGGTGCCACAGGCGGAGGATTAGCCTAGTGAGCTGCGGCGTCTGCCTAGGCTGCCATTTCTGACGGGCAAAACAGGTCAATTCTAACTCCCTGACATCCTGAAAAAGGAAGAGCTATGGCGACAGAGAAAGGATGGCGGCTGCCAGTGGTTAGGGTGGGATGGGGGGGATGAAGAGGTGGCACGGCGGGGACTCCAGGGCGGGAAACTCCCTTGGACGGGACTGTGAAGGTGGCTCTGAGTCATTTACTGTGCACCTGTCAGAGCTCAGAGAGCACACAGCCGCGGTGTGGACTTGGGGTGAGGACGCTGTGTCAGATGTGGGTTCTTCGCTTGTGGCAAATGTGCTGCTCTGGCGGGGGAGGGGGGAACACGTGGGGACAGGGGCACAGGGCATCTCTGCATATTCTGTTCAGCTTTGTCGTGAACTGAAAACCGCTCTAAGAGAACAGTCTATGTAAAATGACTCAAACACATCGGCCATCAGCAACCAGCACCAGCAGTGCCCTGGCCCTTGGTAGGACAGCTAGGGGATGGGTAGAGAGTTCCAGATGGGGCAGGGTGAGACAAGCATCGGGCCTGGGCCCTCACGTCCAGTCCCAAGGTTTGAGATGTGTCTCCCATTTAATACAACCCCAGAGAGGCTCCTGTGTGACTAATATTCATCACCCTATCAGGAATAGGAAGTTGGCACCACTCAGGTTTTCCTATCTATCTTTATATATATTTAATGATTTATTTGATGATATTCACTTGAAAGGCAGAGTTACAGAGAGAGGAGGAGGGAAGGAGAGAGAGAGAGAGAGAAAGAGAGAGATTTTTTTCCCTCCACTGGTTCACTCCCCCAGTGGCCCCCACAGTCAGGGCTGGGCCAGGTTGAAGCCAGGAGCCAGGAGCTTCCTCTGGGTCTCCCACATGGGTGCAGGAGCCCAAGCACTTGGGCCATCTTCTACTGCTTTCCCAGGCACATTTGCAGGGAGCTAGATCAGAAGAGGAGCAGCCAGGACTCGAACAGGTGCCCATACAGGATGCCAGCACTGCAGACGGCAGCTTAACTTGCTGTGCCACTGTGCTGGCCCCTCCTATAAATATTTGTATGAGAGGAGAGGCTCCCCATGGAAGTGGATGAAGAACCTGAAGCTGCACAAAGTGAGTCCTCAGGGGGCCCTTTGCAAGGGTGGGTGGGAGGGGCGGGGGGAGGCGCTGGTGGTGGCAGTAGTGGCGGCGGCGGCAGCAGCGTGTGGGAATGTGAATGCAGTCTGGCAGGCAGCGTGGGCATGTGTGTTGGGAGAGATTTACACAGGGAAAGGGCACCTGCTCAAATATTTATAAATTGATCAAGAAAACATGCTTTAAAAATGAAAAATAAACAGATGTACAAGTGCAACTCAAGAGAAATACATTATGTGAGTCTGCACAAGTTGGGTGTGTGGGAGACAACATGGGAGTGGGCCTGCTGGGGACTGTGACGGGTGGCAGTGCGCAGGGGTGGGCGGCCCTGGCCCGCCCGCCCGCCAGCACCATCCCTGCCACTCAAGGCCAGACAAGTGGGCACAGCGCCCTGGCTGGCGGGTGGGGGTGGGGTGGACACGAAACAAAGCACACCTGGCAGGTCTCCTTGGGGAGGAACATCTTACACACATCCTGGACTTGTCTCCTGGTAACCTGGCAATCTGCGAAGTGGCCACCCCGAGAGCAACCTCAGGCCCGGTTCTGCCGCATCACTGTGGCTGACTGTATCTGCAAATGCTCCAGGTCACTTGCTAGGGGCAAGGACACAAGGGGCCATGTGTTACAGTGTTTCAGTCTGCAGTAAAGGAGCAGAAATCAGGCCTTGCTTAGAAGCACAAAGCTCTAGGCTGGTGCCGTGGCTCACTAGGCTAATCCTCTGCCTGCGGCGCTGGCACCCCAGGTTCTAGTCCCAGTCGGGGCGCCGGATTCTGTCCCGGTTGCTCCTCTTCCAGTCCAGCTCTCTGCTGTGGCCTGGGAGTGGATGGCCCAAGCGCTTGTGCCCTGCACCCGCATGGGAGACCAGGGGAAGCACCTGGCTCCTGGCTTCGGATCAGCGTGGTGCGCCGGTCGCAGCGCGCCGGCCACAGTGGCCATTGCACATGGGTGCTGGTTCAAGTCCTGGCTGCACCACTTTGATCTGGGATGGCCCAAGTGCTTGGGCCCCTGCACCCACTTGTGGAACCCAGAAGAGGCTCCTAGCTCCTGGCTTTGGACAGGTCTAGCTCCGTTTGTTGCGGCCATCTGGGGAGTGACCCAGAGGATGGAAGACTTCTCTCTCTGTGTCTCTCCCTCTCTCTCTCTGTAACTCTACCTCTCAAATAGATACAATCTTTAAAAAATGTATATAAAATGACAGCAAAAAAATTGTTTTGAAAGAAAGAACTCATAATCCCTCAACTTGGGGGGGTCACAGGGATTTCCTGAGAGCTGATAACGTGACAGCATTTAGACACCATCCTTCCTTGAGGAGATGACAGTCTAGGGCTGGGGGATGGCGAGACAGACAACCCACAGATAAGTCAAGACTGACAAGCACTCATCCAGAGGCTAGATCAGGGTGTGGGGCAGGTGCCCAGGCTGATAGGAGACTCAGGAATGGCCAGTTTCCTGGAGAGATAATGCATGACCTGAGTCTATTTTTTTATTCTAATTTTCATGAACTTTTTTATTTTTAAAGATTTATTTATTTGAAAGAGTTAGAGAGAGAGAGAGACAGGGAAAGATCCATCCACTGGCTCATTGACTGCAATGGCCAGGGCCGGGCCAGGCCAGGCTGAAGTCAGGAGCCAGGAGCTTCTTCCAGCTCTTTCATGTAGGTGGCAGGGCCCCAAGCACTTGGGCAATCTTCCACTGCTTTCCCAGGTGCCTTAGCAGGGAGCTGGATTGAAGTGGAGAAGCCTGGACTTGAACTGGTGCCCATATGGGATGCCGGTGCTACAGATGGCAGCTTGTCAGGAGCTGGTCAGACAAGGAAAAAGTAGAGGAGTGTCCAAAGAAGAGGAGAAACACCATGGGCACAAGGCAGAGGTACAGAACAGCCGATGTGGGGGAGATGCAGTTTCATTTTATTAGCCTCAAGTCAGGAAGGAAGTGGAAGGTGATGCTGGAGGGGCAGCTACAGACTGGATCATGTAGGACAGCTTAAGGTTTACTAGGGAGCACAGGTGTTACTTTGTAGGCAAAAGGGAGCAGTGGAACATGGCAGCGTTTCCCTACTTTGCTACAAAAAGTATCTGAATGCCTGGGATACAATCCCAACTCCACATACCATTCTAGCTCCCTGCTAATGTACACCCTGAGAGGCAGCAGGTGATGGCTCAAGTATTTGGGTCCCTGCCACCCACATGGAAGGCTCAGATGGAGCTCCTGAATCCTGGCTTTGGCCTGGCCCAGCCTTGGCTGTTGGGGGGCAATTGGGGTGTGAATCTCAATTCCTGTTTCTCAAATAAATAAAACTAAAAAAGAAAAAAAAAAGACCCAGAAGTCCAGAGCTATCTTGGCAACACAGAACATCTGCCTGTGCTTTTCCAGTATCGCCTCCTTGCTCTTAGGTTCTCACTAGGACACTGGTTTTCCATGCGGCAGAGGGGTAGCTGCCAATAGTCTGAGTACCCGAATGCAGATCAGGAGCACACATGGGCTCCTTGTTCTTCAGCCAGGCTCAAATCCACGCTGGGCTTCCACTGTCTGCACACAGAAAGGACAAGCTGAATGAGTTAAGTCCACTGCCTTCCACCTGCTGTCAGGAGCCAGACGGCCAGGATTTAATTGCTGTAGCTTATAACTGCTTATCAGGGGAAGGGGATGGGTGGCAAACCTCTGAGTGGGAAGGAGCCTGGAGGATGGGAATTTGTCCCTTGAGACACAGCAGTCTTGGGGACAGGGAAAGGGAAGGCAGCCACTCTGAGGCAGGACTGCACACCCAAGGGTGCTGGGACCACAGGGGCACCAGCAGATGGTCAGCCCTAGTGAATCTTCCAAGAATTCATGGAAATGTGTATTATGAAAAAAAAATGCATGTGTGCATTTCTTTCTTTTTATTTGTCTATTTATTTGACAGGTAGCATTATAGACAGTGAGACAGAGAGACAGAGAGACAGAGAGAAAGGTCTTCCTTCTGTTGGTTCACTCTCCAAATGGCTGCTACAGCTGGCGTTGCACCAATCTGAAGCCAGGAGCCAGGTGCTTCTCCTGGTCTCCCATGTGGGTGTAGGGCCCAAGGACTTGGGCCATCCTCCACTGCCCTCCCAGGCCACAGCAGAGAGCTGGACTGGAAGAGGAGCAACCGGGACTAGAACCCGGTGCCAATATGGGATGCCGGTGCTGCAGGCAGAGGATTAACCAAGTGAGCCACGGTGCCGGCCCCAACCATGTGTGCATTTCAACATTTTTTTTTTTTGCACCAAAATAAACTTATCTCTGAATTCTCTTTTCCACGAACTTCTTGAAGTCCTCTCGGAGACATCCTATCTCCAACCCTGCTTCTCTGCTAGGACACCAGGAAGACAGCGTTACAAACACACGATGTAGAATCGCATGGGGGAGCTGGCATTCAAACTCGGCTGTGTCCTTGGAGGTTACCTCCTCTCTGCACTCTGGGCTCCTCCTCTGTAAATGGGACACAACTGAGACACAGGGCTGATGGGAGGATTCAATGTGATCACCCCCAAAACCAGTTTAGGAGACCTTGGAGACTCATACAACAGATGCCAGCTATCATTATATGTTGAACGTGAAATAAAGAACCAGCTCTATGCAGATGGCTGAAGGATATAAAACAGTGACATGCTACCACATCGCCACGTGAGCGTGCACGCGTGCACACACACACACTGCAGATGCAAAGCTACTATATTTCTGTTGAGAAACTGATTTAAAACTTACTAAAAAATCACTTATTTAAAAATAACTCCAGAGGCTGGTGTTGTGGCATAGCGGGTAAAGCCACTGCCTGTAATGCCAGCATCCCATAGGGGTGCCAGTTTGAGTCCTGGCTGCTCCTCTTCTGATCCAGCTCTCTGCTATGGCCTGGGAAAGCAGTAGAAGATGGCCCAAGTATTTGGGCCCCTGCACCCACGTGGGAGACTTGGAAGAAGCTCCTGGCTCCTGGTTTCAACCTGGCCCAGCCTAAGCCATTGCTGACATTTGGGGAGTGAACCAGTGAACGGACGACCTCTCTGTCTCTCTCCCTCTCTCTGTGTACCTCTACCTCTCAAATAGAAATAAAAAATAAAAAAAAAATAAATAAAAAAGGGTGCCCTTTCTCTACCTCTCCAGCCTGCCTTGCTGTACCTGCCCAGCGGTTCTAGCTGATCGCAGCGGACAGGTCCACTCACCAATTTGCGGATTTCACATTCTAGGTTCTGAATACAGTCCAGTTTCCTCTTGCGGCAGCGCTGGGCCGCGATGCGGTTCTTGCTGCGCCTTCGGACGTCGTGAATGAACTCTAACTGTTCTGAGGTTAGCTTGTGCATCTTAATCATCATCTGGAAGTCGTTCCGGGGAAGGTCTGTGATCTGGTCTACGGGAAAAGGAAGTTTGACCTGCAACCAAGAATGACACAATGTGAGTATGGCCGCTGGGTGGTCCTCTTCATTCTGATGGGTAGACGCTGCAAATAATGGTTCAATCTCCTTTGACCAGGTAGAATGAAAACTAAAAGCAACTGAAAGCAAGCAGTCATCAATTCTTTCCTGTTTCAAATATAAGTCAAATGTGACATCCGGATAATCAAAGACAACAAGAACACACAAATAATATTGTAGTTATCTTTTTGAAGCAAACGGCATGGAAGAATATTGGAAGATGGGTCATTTTTCATTGCTGTATTACTTCGTAAGAAGAATGCTAACAGCCATAACCTACTTGCACAAGTCACAGAGCCCAATTCATTGAAGACAAGGATTTATGCAAAGCACTTAGATGAATGGAGCGCCTCCTCCCACCCCCAACCTTGGAGAGGCTGGAAAGATGACCCATTCCAGCAGGGTTCTGAGTTACAACATTGTTACCCGAAGAAGCAGCTTGGATAGGCTCCACCAGCGTGGGGCGGGAGTCAGGAGGAGACGGGGACTTCAGCCCTCACGGGAGATGAGAGCTCGGGCAAGTTCTTTCACCTGAGTCTCTGTTCGCTCGTCTGCAAAGCAGGGCAGTAGTTTTAGCTGTACAGTGCTAGAGACGTGGTAGGCATGTTGCTAGATCGTGTTTCTCAGAAACGGCCGTTCCATGGCACATTTTCTTGTAACACTGACATTCCTTTGGGAAGAGGTGTTCCTGCCTCGGGAGCACTAGGATGTGGTGGAAGCAATGGGTGTCATTTCCGAGGGCAGGGCACAAAAAAGGCACTGCGGCTTCCCAGGAGGCCTCTTAGACTGCTCGCTCCGGGGAAAACCAGCCGCCGTGCTGGGAGGACACTCAGGCAGCTCTGCCGTGTGGAGAGGGATTCTCCAGCTCCACGCAAGCCTCCCGATGACTGCAGCCCCAGCTCACGTCTGACTTCACCCCCGGGGGAGATCCTGAGAACTGCTCAGATGGGGTGCTCCTGCATTCCTGGCTCCAGGCAACTGTCAGAGTTGTTCAATGAGCGCTGGTGTTTCAAGTCATTAAGTTTCGGGGTGATTTATCATGCGGCACTAGATAATGAATACAGGTCCTTTATTGGCAAGAATCCTGCTTTCAAACTGCTGAAAATCAAAGCAAATTTGCATTACCCAAAAAGAGGACCCCGACCCTGCAGAGTTGGGTGTGTGTCCTCCCTCTGTTGTGGACCACAAGCCTATGGCAGTTTGAGATGTTTCTTAAGAGGAGAACAGGGGCTGGCGCTGAGGCAGAGTAGGTTAAGCCTCCGATCCAGCTCTCTGCTTATGGCCTGGGAAATCAGTAGCTGGCCCAATGGCCGGAGCTGCGCTGATCCAAAGCTAGGAGCTTCTTCCGGGTCTCCCATGTGGGTGCAGGGGCCAAGGACTTGGGCCATTCTCCGCTGCTTTCCCAGGCCATAGCAGGGAGCTGGATTGGAAGTGGAGCAGCCGAGACTTGAATCGATGCCCATGTGGGATGCCACAGCGCCAGCCCCCCAGGTTCAGTTCTGGTCCTGTTTCAGAAACTCTTGAGAAAGGAGGATTGTGTATGGCTAGGCCAACACCAGGTGTTTCCCAGATGCATTTGCTTAATTCTTGCCCATGTTTGCATCTGCTTCAGATGGGTCAGCAGATGGCGCTACACACCTAAACTTCTGTCTAACCCTAAGCCAGTACTGTCTACTTAATAGACAGGTGATTTTCAGTTTCCCAGCAGTCCCATTAACAGAAGAAAGAAGCAGGTGCGATTCATTTTAATGTTATTTAACCTGATATAGCTGAAACATTTCCAACACGCAGTTAAGGTAAGAAAATTACAAACGAGGTATTTCATATTTTTGGGGTGGTGTATTGTTCAAAATCCAAAGCGTATTTTATCCTTACAGTACATCACAACTCAGATTGGCCACACAGGATGGGTCGGTAGTATTTCAGAAGACTGAACACATGGATTCCAGTGAACCTGAGTAGCCAGAAAAACACATAGGCCTGGGTTCAGTGATCAAAATACGTTTGGGTGAAGAAAGCAACCTCTTGTTAGCATCCAGAGGCTGAAGGGTGACGTCGGTGCTCTCCAAGGGAGTGGAGGATAAGGCTACTTCACCCCACACTCAGGGTTTCTCTTTGGTTGCCTCACACACAGGCAGACTTGAGCCCTGAGCCTGGCATTTGCGGCAAGTTAATCCCATGCACAAAGGCAAACATAGGAAATGATCACTTGAGTTCTCTGTGGTCAGGTGCAATTTCCTTGTCAGTTACTTCACAGCTCTGAGCCTACTCAACGTGGCATTTGCTGGAGGCTTCCAATGGGCGTTCAACCTCCACATGGTGAACCCTGAACCATGACACCTGTAGAATTTTGGCCCAGAGCAGGGCACGTTATGCCACTCTCAGCTTAGTTCTGCTCCAAGAGCTAAAGACAGACAGCCAGGACAAGCAGCTCCTTGTTATGGGCTGGAGTGGGGGAGAGAGGGGATGGCCTTTGTCCATGGTGCGTTATTTACACAGGGCTTATAATGATAGGAAAGAATGTTTGATTTCCCTTTTATATGCTTTGGATAACAAACGGACACTCAGATCCTGGAGAGTGTCTCTGTAACACAAGAGGTCTGTTGTTGGGGACACGGATGTCGCCACACAGCAGAGGCTGTGGCCCTTTACGGGCTTGTGGCGTTTGCCCCTCTGTGCTTCTGCTCTACACTGGGTTTACTCCATTCAGAAAGAAAACACACCTACTGCCCGGGCCCCAGTCAATGGCGAGAGAGCGCAGCTCTACCAGGAGCTGCCGTAGGTAAAATCATTGCGACGGCAGATGGAAAACACGAGGGGAGAGAGGATGGGTGGGAAAAAGGAAAAATCAACAATGCTAGTGTCAAAGTCCTTGAAGCAAAAGGCCATATAAAATTTCAGCAGAGCTGCTTTTAAAGAGGGTCAGAGAATGGTCAACTCTAGTTTGTTGTTGTTGTTGTTTTTTTTTTTTTTTTCCCCTGCGTTAAAGTCCCCTCTCTGTTTTTCACTGGGTCTGCTGCCCCTGAAGCAAGGGGGGCACCTGTGGATGAACAGGTGGGGAGTCCGGGCTGTGCTCCTGAAGACGCCCAGTGGGAGCCTGCCCAAGTCCACTTATGATTTGACTGGCAGGTTCCAAGCCAGCAGGCATGTGCCCTGGAGGTCAAGGGCAGTGCCTAGCCTTCCGGTCCCTTGGAGAACATTCCTGTCTTGGGCAACCACAAAGTTCCTGTGGTCCACACATTCTCCACATGAGGCCAGAAGGTCACATAAGAGGACTCAGCCTTGGAAAGTGGAAACATAATGAGAAGGCCAAGGCCAAGGCCAGGGCCCTCCGCCTCTTTCTTCTGGGGCATTAATGCTTAGGGCTTCCCATCTTTATATCCCGCACCGAGCTTGTTCACTGCGAGTTGATGTCTCAGCACAAGTCTGACTTCCATGTCCCGGTCCCTCTCCCCAGTGGAGAGCAGCCAACCTGAGCAGACCAAGAGCCCTGCCAACCATCACCTCCACCCCTGCCAATGGCTGGGTCACATCCTCACGGCCACACATGGCTCTGGGCAGGCAGGCTGCGTGGGAAGGGCATGGGCTTTGCAGGTGAGTGTTGATGTCTTGCAGCTCCAGGCCTACCCCTTCGCTTTTCAGCAGAGGTGCAGAGAGTCAAGGGCACTTTGTCAGCAAGCCAAGGGCCAACAAGGCACCATGGGCCACCGCCACTATTTGCACAATGAGCTAGTGTTGATTTTGGCTGCCCCCAGCCAAGCACCGACTCTCCTCTTCCCTGTCGAATGCAACAGACTGGAGGTCAGGGATCTGTGCCGCCCGGCTGAGTGACGACCAGAGGAGGGTTAGCCCTTTGGGTCTCTGCTCTGCGGCCATCAGATAGATGGTGCCGACTTGCACCCAGGGACCTCTGGCTTCAACAGATGACAAAGATGACAACTCCTGAAGACGCCCAGTGGGAGCCTGCCCAAGTCCACTTGTGATTTGACTTATGATTTGAATCAGCTGTGACACGTGGATGGGGCCTGGCGTCTCAACGCGCCTCCTCGTGTACTTTGTGCACCCGCCAGCCAGCCAGAGGCGGCTGCAGGTAACCTTGAGGCCGGCACTTTCTTCTCGCCAAGGGGGAACCGTGTGGCTCCACTTCTCTCCCCTGCCAACACTACTCCCATTCTGTAGCCTCAACCACCATCTCACTCCCTGCTAAAAAAAAAAGTTCTCTAAACAAATGATGTAACTCCTTACAGAAAAGGCAAACGTGAGACAGAAATGGAGAAAAAGCTCCCATCCCTAAACAACGACTGTTGCCCGGATGGGCTGCCCCGTGATCATCCTCATTTGCCTGTACGGAGTTGTACTCAGACGGTGCTCTATGTGGCTCACCTCGCCTCACCATGCTTCCTGCCTACCTCACTCGCCTGGGGCCTCTGGTGCACAGGCTGCGGTTTCCTGGAGAAGCACATGTTACGGGAAAAGCCGCACGCAAGTCTCTTCCCTCCAGAGATCCCAGTGGAAGAGTGGTTTGGGGGTAATCGGCCCTAACTCCTGCTGTGACTTCACTGTCTGATGCTGAGTGGGAGTCACGGGAGAGGGGTGCTGCTGACACCATACCCCGCGACTTAGGACGACGTGGCCAGCTCTCCACGGCTCGTAATGTGTGCCATGCTAAGACCCTCAGATCATAGGGAGTTGTTGCTGGGGGAGGGAGCAAGATGCCCACTGGGCTGGAGATCCTGGGGCTGCTGCTGGACAGGGACCACTCAGCGCTAGGCAGATGCCAATGACAAAAGTCTCTCCTCCCAGACCAAGAAATGTTCCCTGCACAACTGTCCCCCACCCTCTCCCTGAGTCACTCAGTCGTGGTCTGTAATTCATTAGTTGTGTGACCTCAGCCAAGTCTTTCATTCTGTGTCCCAGGGTTCTCGGAGGATCTGCGAACCAGGGGGAGGTAACAGGTG